TTTCGTACCTCAGTCCAAAGGGTTAGAATTGGCAATGCTAGAGATTTATTTAATCATAGTTGTTCTTCTCTTTTTTTTTTTTTTTTATCACTTGGCATCCTTCATGAAAGTTCTTGCACCTATACCCCCTAACAACCTTCATGAAAGTTCTTGCACCTATACCCCCTAACAAAACAAAGTTGTTGAAAGAAATCACCATCATCAACTAGAAGCAACCCGTTCACTCAAACACTGAGCCAATATACCTGTTTCTTTTTGGGGTGAATGTGTGATCATAGCAACATACTTAATCAACTGCATGCCAACTAGAGTCCTTCATGGAAAGACTCCCTATGAGGTATTATTCAAGAAACAACCAACCCTTGATCATCTCCGAGTATTTTGTTGCATGACAAGTTCATAACCCGGGCCACCTGCTATATTTTTATGGGATACCCTATGCTCCAAAATGGTTATAGGCTATATGATCCAGTTGAAAACCAGTTCTTGATCTCTAGAGATGCGTTTCATGAAGACATTTTTCCTTTTGCCACCAAAGTTACTATTTCATCTCCATCTCCCTAGCTAATTCCTGAAGTTGATACTCCTAATCTACTTGATCCTCTTTTCACTATGATACCTACTCTTCAAGTTTCGTAGCCAGATATCGCTTATTCTAATTCTGATTTTGACATAGCAGCCATTAATGACTCTCTAGCAGAGTCACTTGTTCAGATACCTACTCTTGTTTCTCTTCCAGGATCCCCTGTTCCAGTTCTGGTAATACCCACACATCGAACTACTTTATAGACTCGACCATCGATCTAGACAATAGATTATGAGTGTCCCACAATATCAAATTCTTCAGGTACACTGTATCTTACCTCCAATTATGTGAGTTACGATCTTCTCTCTCCTGTCCACAGAATTTGTATCAGTCACATCTCCTCTGATCAAAAACCCACTAGTTACTTAGATTTTGTTCACCACTCTTATTAGCGCCAAGCAATGGCTAATGAACTTACTACTTTGACTAAGAATCATACGTGAGATTTGGTGCCTCATCCTTCTCATAGAAAACCAATTGGCTGTAAATGGGTCTACAAAATCAAGCACCGTGCTAATGGCTCAATTGAACGTTACAAAGCCTGCTTGGTAGCCAAGGGATTCACTCAGCATGAGGGGTTTGATTATCAGGAGACTTTCTCCCCTGTAGCCAAACATGTCACTGTTTGTGCTTTCCTTATAGTTGCTTTCGTTAGTGACTGGCCTCTGCATCAAATGGATGTCCACAATGTCTTCCTTCATAGAGATCTTCATGAAGAAATCAACATGGATCTTCCTCCCAGAATTCTCAGACAGGGGGAGAACACGGTATGTCATCTGCTAAAATCCCTCTATGGACTACAACAAACATCTCGATAATGTAATGAAAAATTCAGCAAAGTTTCACTAGCATAGGATTTGTTTAGTCCAAACATGACTATGCATTGTTTACCTGACACAAAGGTAAAACCTTCATTGCTCTAATCATCCATGTCGGTGACATTCTTATTACAAGAAATGATGAAGTAGGCATCAAATCCTTGAAAAAGCACCTCAACAAACAATTCAGAATAAAAGATCTGGGAGAGCCAAAATATTTCCTAAGAATTGAAATTGCAAGATCTCCAACGGGAATATCTCTCAGTCAACAGAAATATGTTTTGGAACTCATTTCTGATTTTGGGCTATCAAGATGTAAGCCAAGTGTCATTCTAGTATAACAAAACACCAAGTTGACTACTCAAGATATGACAGTGGGATCTTGTCCTTAGAAGATGATCCACCTCTGGAAGATCCCACAAACTATCAAAGACTTGTTGTTCAACTGATCTACCTCACCATGACTCGTCCAAACACCAGTTATGAAGTCCACATTCTTAGTTAGTTCATGCATGAACCTAAATGATCTCACATGCATGCAACAATAAAGGTACTAAAATACTCAAAAGGGTGTCTTAGTCTAGGACTTCTCCTTCCTCGTGACAAAGGTTTGATATCACATCTCATTGCCATGTTCGATAACAAGAAAATCACTCACTAGTTTCTGCATCAAGCTAGGGGGAGCTCTTATTTCTTGGAAAATAAAGAAACAATTGACAATATCTTTTTCTTCGGCAGAAGCTGAATACAAAGCCATGACAAAGACAACATGTGAGATCATATGGATTCTGAGGTTGTTAGAAGATCTAGAAGTACAAGCAAGGAAACCTGTTCTTTTATACTGCAATAACAAGGCTGCAAACGACATAGCAGCAAATCCAGTATTCCATGAAAGAATGAAACATATAGAAATTGATTGCCACTTTGTTAAAAGCAAAATACAAGAAGGAGTAATAAAGACTTTACACATTCGTACTTTAGAACAACCAGTAGGCATCTTCACAAAGCCATTGTGCAGTAGACAATATTCATATCTACTTAGCAAGCTTGGAGTTTTCAATATCTACAAACCACAAGCTTGAGGGAGAGTGACGAAATATGGAATGATATTACAGCTTTCCCTTGATCTCTACTTGCTGAGATTCAGGGATGATTATGGCTTCAATCAATCACCCTAATTCATGTGATTGATTGAATAAGTATAGGGATTGTATTCATTATTTTTCTATTTTACATTTACAGAAATTGTATCAATTGGCCATTGTACATGCTTACAATAGATAATAGAAATATACAGAAATTCTCTCTCTCCTCTCTTTTAGGCACTCTCTGGTAGTGTCAAATATCTTGAACTGCTTTTCTTGTCTCTCTTTCTTCGATTCCTTACAAATACCATTATCCCATAAATATGAAAAGTTAGGGTTTTGTTGTGTGGACTCGATCATTGTAATGTTAGGCTATAAGAATTTAAGATATTCAACACCAAATTCATGTTCATTGGCCATCTGCAATAAAAATTCTCTCCTTTTTTTTTTTTTTCAAAAAATAAATTATGAGACATTTTCTGTCTCATTGATTGTCCACACGTGAATTCAGGTAATTGGATGTTAGGTACGTGGCAAAGAATTGGTTGTTAGATTAAATATAATTTGAATACATTCAATGAGCCCACTAGAATAATTCTTCTAAATATTTGTCAAATGAATGAGAGTTCTTCTTGTCTTCTTTCCCTCATATTCTTGTAGGTTAATGTTATATTTGCAATTAATTTCCTTACCAGTTTGAATTTTAACAAAATTCCAATTGTGTGAGATTTATAAATGAAAACAGTACGTACCTGTCATGTACTTCCAAGCAGAAACAATGAATCAATTAATGTTTTTCCAACTACAATCATCCAATTCAACCATGTATTTATCATTAACAACAGAAAGTAGGGGTGAGCGGTTCCGGGTACCCTGCACTTTTTCGGGGAACCGGAACCGGAACCGCACAGTACAGGTTCCCAAAAAAAGGAACTGATATGAAACTCCTGCTTCAATTATACATTCTTGGCCATGTTTTCTGTTGCTGCCCCATTCTTTACGCAGAGTGCCGCCGGCACTCAGTAACCTGCGAAATAAGGTGGTCAGGAAGCCGAGATGGGTTTCATTTATCCCATTGAGGTTATCATTTCCTTGAAAAGTATATTTAAAAAAAAAAAAAAAAAAAAAAAAAAGAACAACTCTTAGAAGGATGTATAATACTTTTAAAAAATTGTGGAGACGAGCATATTTCATTATCTCTAGCGGACTATACATGATACCATGGGCATGGGGGACAAAATGTTACTCAGCCATCTTTTGCTGATTTTGAAATTGGACAGACTAATTAATTTGCCTGTAAAATATGTTAATTTGCATACCCATATTCCTTTTTATTTATTTTGGGCAAGCATTACAGTTTGATTGGGACCAGTAGAATCAATCTCCTCTAAGATTAAAGTTATTCAATTAAATTCATGTATATTCAATAACTTCCTTCTCCAGGAGTCCAGTATGGACCTGATACTCTGGCTGCCCCTCATTTTAGACTTTGGAAGTCATTTGTTTGAAGAAAGCCATATAATTTTGTTCACTGCAAACCACTCAACTAATTCAATTCAACTCTAATTAAATATTTACATCGGAAAGAAAGGGGACATGTAGTACCCAGATTTCGGCTTTGACATTCCAAAAGCCTAAAACTATTCCTTTATTTTGGTAAAGACAAATGTAAAGCTTTGAAATAAAATAGGAGAAAGAACTATATATATTTTTTAATCACATTTGTATCCTCACTTAAAGTAGAAGATGGGGCTAAAGAAGAAAAAAGTGGAGCTAAAAATCATTTCCCAATTTTTCTTTAAAGGCAAGTGCCATAGTTGCGTAATTCATCATTTGCAGTATAATATAAATATTCACGTTTTTAACATGATTTTTTTTTTTTTTAATTCATCATTTAAAATATAAATATTCACATTTTTATCAAAAAAAAAAAATTACTCTTACAATTTCATAATTCAATAAGTAGAAGAAAATTTGGTCAACGCACAAATTCGGGCATACATGGGCCTCATCTGTCTTCTTGCTGCACTTCCATTCTGCTAATCTTAACAGTTTAAAGCAAGCGAGATATTTGCTTCACAACTACTAATACAAGAAAATTTTGTGTTAAAAAAACAAAAGCCAATTAAACCCCTTGTCGCCACCCTTTGACCCCAATCAGTTTTAAAAGTAGAGAAAGCAATTGATGAAACCAATATAATTTTCAAATTGAAGCTACCTGTGTTTACATTGGATGAAGTAGAGCATGATATTTATCAGTGTCTTAGAAACCATCGAATTTGCTTGTCTTTTGTTAAATCATGAAGATCCCAATTAGCATTTGGATACAGACGGATAAAACTTTGAAAATTGAAACTCTTTATTTAAATAATTACTGAAGAACAATAATCACACTCTTATTCATTGATATTAATAATTTATTTGTTTTGTTTTTTATACAAATCTTTATACTTGAGAGAATTGCAAGTAATATCATCCCAATAAGAAGTTGAAATGGGTTGCAGCAAAAAAACCTTATGCATTCTTGAACAAGACAAATAACAATTTAATTTGTTTATACATTAATTCTCTTTTTCATAGCATATAGTTTTTGAAATCATGTTTCATGGGTATCTATCTTTACACTACAAAACTATTATGTTACAAAAAAGGAGAAAGGAAATAACCAAACAAACAAAAACTTAAGTTGCTGTACTGGGCAAAAGGGGTTCTTTTTCTAAGGGTGGAGAGTCTTGTTTTCCCTTCAAACATGACAGAATCCAATAGATTAAACCTGCAGAGAAGAAGCTGAAAAACCAAGCATTGTTATAAATTACAGTAAGACTATCAGGAATCGTGGAGAGGAACCCAACCTTGTGTGACAAACCAGGAATCACAGGCAAAATCCCAATAATCAAAGCTGCAATGGCTGCCAAATTGTAGCCCCCTGAATAGTAGTAAGCTCCATTAGGACTCAAAGAATACAAGTCCTTGACACTTAATTTTGCTCTGTGAATGAGATAGTAATCTGCTAAAATTATGCCACCAATTGGACCCAACAAAGCAGAATACCCAACTAACCATGTGTACACAAAACTCTCACTCGATTTAAGAAGCCTCCAAGGTTGGAATGCAATTCCAACCAATGCAGTTAAAAAAGCCCCTCTTCTGAATGTGATATTCGAAGGACTAAGATTAACAAGTGCATTTGCTGGAGCTACAACATTGGCTGCAATATTGGTTGTAATGGTGGCTAGACTGATGCCTAAAATGGCTAAGATTATTGTTGTGATTCCTCCAATTTTTCCAAGAAGTTGAATTGGACTAGAAATAACATGACCAAAAATGACTTCAGTAGAGCAGGTTATTGCAAGGCCGACAAATGTAAATGCCCCCATAAAAATTGGAAGGCCAGCCTGACCCACAATTTGATCGGTTTGGCTCTTGGCGTATCGAGTAAAATCAGGAATGTTAAGTGCAAGAGTAGCCCAGAAGCTGATATTTGCAGTGAGTGAAGGGAAAAATAGTGACCAAAATTCTGAAGAAGATAGCCGGGAAGTTATAGAGAGCATGTGGCCAAATCCACCGGCTTTGGAATAAGCCCAGAAGAGAAAACTAGAAGTGAGTATGATCAAAATTGGAGCTGAGTATTTTTCAAGCTCTCTAATTCCTTCTATCCCTTTCCAAACAATAGTCAATTGGGCAAACCAAAAGGCAATAAAACAAGCAAATTCTAAAGGAGATGTACCAAGCCATGGTAAACTCTGAGACTGTGAAGATTGTTTAATGAATTTAGGCAAAAGAAGAAAAATTGCCTCACCACCAATCCAAGTTTCAATCCCATACCAACCACAGCCAACCAATGCTCTAAGGAGTGTAGGAATATGAGCACCACGAATACCAAAAGAAGATCGAGCCAGGACTGGAAAAGAAATTCCATATTTTGTTCCAGGATGGCCTGTAAGTATTAAAGGGACTAACAAAATTATATTTGCAGCAACAACAGTGGCGATTCCTTGCCACCAAGCCATGCCGAGATCAACAAGACTGCCAGCCAAGTAGTAAGATGGAACACCAACAACAAGGCCAATCCAAAGACTGGCCATTTCCCACCAAGAGAAAGTCCTATGATTGAGTTCTGTTGGCTTGAGATCTTCATTGGTGAGCGCGGGATCAGGTTGGAAATCGTTGAATTCAGAGGTGAAATCCGATTTGGTTGATGCCATTGTGGTCAAAATGTTGCATTTTTTCCTAAGAGAAGTGGGGAAGAAGTTGTGAGTGGAAGATGCTATGGTGGATGTGTTATGTGACAATAAAGGAGTGGGGAATTTGCAGGGGGTGATTGGCTTCTGGGAAAGTTGAAGATGGGGATGGAGGTTGATGCTGATACATTTGGACACCATGATTCACAAAAAGATTCAGATGAAATTGAACTATGGAATCTATGGTGTCTCTTTGTTTGAGATAAGGTGAGTGATGATTGGCCCGTATTGTCAGTATCATAGTGTTACTAATTTACATGGATGGAATGGTAAATAGAATTTAGCCTCCTTTCTTTGCTTAAAAATTTTAAATGGCCAATTTCTCCATGCCAATAGTAAAAGGCCTATTGAATAAGCATTTGATAATTTATTTATTAATTAAAAAGGAATCTTTAAGGTGGCGTGTGTGTTGAATCTTGAGTTCTATTACTAAATTCCTATCCGAAAGATAAATTAAAGATTGGAAAGTGATTAGGATCTCACTCGCCTAATGATGCGTGCGATCCAATACAAAGTAAATTTTAGAATTTTAAAAATCACTTGAGTCCTTTAAGTTTATCAAAATTTTCTCTTTGTCCATAGTATTTGTTAAACTATGGGATTTTATACCTTAATTGTACTAAATTTCGGGAGCAATGGATAAAATCTTGCTTTAAGCACTTTCTTATAAAATGTTTAAAATTTTTCTGAGAAAAAAATTAGATATATATATCTATAAGAAGCACATTAAGTATATTTCTAACTGAAAAAAATATATATTCTAACCTAATATGCATTAAACTTTTTTTTTTTTTTTTGGTTCATAAGAACTTATGTATTTTTTATTTTAATCATTAAAAAAACCCACTTTTATTGAATAACGCAATGCTTTTGTTGCTAATAAAAAATGTTTTCAAATAGTCGAAATTATATTATTTATGTTAATTTTGTAATATTAAACTAAAATAAATCAACCTAATATTTTAATAGTACACTTCAATCTTTACATAATAAGACAAATTTTACTCTTTAAGATCTTAAACTTACCTGAAGTACTTATTAGATTAATAATTAATACACAATCTTTTATCAAATCTATGGAGGTAAGTGTTTATTAAAAATTGTTATAGGTGAGAATTACTTATGGCAATCCTCAGGAGTTAAGTGTTTTTAATTCAAATTACAAAGGGGATGTATTGTTATTGGTGAATTATATTCGAAACGCTCCTCACGCGCTTCTAGGAGCGATGCTGATAAATGTGAATTAATTTCCTTTTGTGGAGAATACTCAACAAACGTGGTTTTGACTATATCCATAAGATGACTTGTTAAGTCGGGCTCCCTTCTGGATGCTTTGAAAACCAGATCATTTGTGATACCGAATCCAATAAATTAATATGTTATTCAATTTATTCTGCATAAATTAAATCATCATTAGGAAATAATTGAAAATTATGAAAGGCTAGCTAACGTAATTTGTCAGAAATCTTCCTAATTATATTTTTATTTATTCTTTCAGCTTGAGCATATTATAACCCGACTTTGATGGTAATCTTTAATCAAAGAATCATAATACCCAGATGCCATTAAATTTTTACCATTTCCATCCGTTAACTTGTATTATTAATACTCTTCAAATTTAATTACTAAGCGGTTGTTGTTCAATATTATTTTCCAATTGAAATAAAACATTTAATTTTTATCATTCAGTTATTTTGTAAAATAAAAATTATTAATTAATGTTACTTACAAAAAGTTGAGATTCTTAACTTTTTAATGTGGCTACTTTAAGCATCAAGACCGCATTAATTATAGAAAGTTAGAATATATAGTGCTAGGATTTAGTAAGGGTAGAACAGTAATAAGAAGGCAAGGGAATATTACAAGCATCTTTTATATATAGGCAAGGGAATATTACAAGCATCTTATATATATATATATATATATATAAGAGAGAGAGAGAGAGAGTAATGCTACATTTACACCACTCATTTACATCAGTCTCATACATCATGATGTGGCAACCAATGTGACAAAAGCCACCTTATTTGCCACATCAACTATTTGCCATGTCAATTTCCCATAATTTACTATTTTTTAAAAAAAAAAAAAATTTACCAATCGTAAATTTCAAATTTTCCATTTTGCGCTAAATCCACATCCTAAATCCATATTAGCCCCTAGTAGGTCACCACCACAGTCGCTCCAGGATGCTACCCTACACTCATCATAGTCTACCATCTCAGTCACAGCTAGGACTGTCAGACAAGTCGAGTAGCTTGAGAGTCGGCTCGACTTGACTCGTCTAAAGCTCGTTAAGGGCTCGACTCGACTGTTGTCAAGTCAACTCGGCTCGAACTTGGGTACTAAATCAAGTTGAGTTCGATCATAGGGAGGCTCAACTCGTAGGCTCACGATCCTAGGGTTGCTAGCATAAGCAGGGTCAATTTTGTAAGTTTTATAAACCTTGTGGGATTGAAATGTTATATGGAAGTTTAAAAATTAAAAAAAAAAAAATGAAATTTACCCCCTTAGTGCAAAATAGTAAAACACGATCTAAACACCCCCAATTCAATTTCCCCCAAATCGACCAAGCCCTATTCACAATTTCACAAACCTTAAATCCCCAAAAGTGGAAATTTGTCCACTGTGAATCACGAATCACGATCATCCCCTATGCTTGCCGTGGCCGATCGATCATTCCCTGTTCTTGCCATCACCGATCGATTAACAACATGTAGGAATCACGACTTCATCCCCCAAAGCACAAAACCAATTCTTCCCCTCCAAATCGAGCACAAAATCGGTAGGAGGGAGCACAATCAGTAAGTATTCCAAACTCACAAATGCTTCTCTGAATTCGTTAAGGTTCATTAACATGGTTTGTTAATTTGGACATGGTTTAGGGTTTATTTGCACACGGTTCATAACTTCTTTGCTTGAAAACAACAATATCTGAAAAATTGATGATGAATTTTGGGCTAAGTTTGCACATTATGAAAAATTGATTGTTGTAGGCTTGTAGGGTTGATTCTGAATCAGTTAGTAAATTTGGAGTTTCTTTCTGTAATTAATCCTAGTTAGAAGAAAGGGGACATGCTCTAATTGTTGGCGTCATTGTGCACTTGCGAGGACATGCCATTATGTGTCAGTTAATACACACACGCCACACTTCAACACTTACTAGTATCGTAGCATAGTAGTAAAGCCCCATTTGCAAATTCCAAAACAACTGCCATCCCCATAATAGTAATAAACCTTCATTCCTTTAGATAAATGTTAGATTCTTGGAGCTTAGAGCTTGATAGAGAATATGTTGACTTTTAAATAATGTCTATTAATTAGAAGTATTTTTAATGATGTTAATTAATTATGGTTTGCGTGTGTTGCTAGATTCTGCAGTTTGTGTTGTTGGATTATGGAGTTTGTGTGTTTCCTTAATGATGGTTTCTTATTTTTAATTATAGGTATGGCCTCTGAAGGCAATTCCTTAAGCACCCTAACATTGGATGACATCGACGATACAGTTACAATCAGAGCAGTTGATCGTCATAACATTTATGGAAGCACAACCACTACCCATATAGAACAAAGTGTTAGTAGCCTTGAAAATGTAGTGGACAATGATAATCCACTTCACATGAAGAAAAGAGTTAAGACATCAGCGGTGTGGACAAAATTTAAGGAGGTGGTTGTCCCTGCTAGCACAAAGAAAGCAGAGTGCATCCACTGTAAAACCAAGCTAAAAATTACTGCCACTGGAAGCACTACCCAATTTAATAGACATTTGAAGAGGTGTACGAAGAGATTAGCTTCCTTGAGGCAACAAGAAATTAATTTTCCCCCTTCTAGTTCTCAAGGTACATCTGTTATCTTGTCTGCTCTACGAGGCCAGTTCAATATGCTTAAGATGATGGAACTTATTGCCCATTGGGTGCTAATGCATCAGCATCCGCTTACTGTTATGGAGAAAAAAGGATTGAACAATATGATGAACTATGGGATTCCTAAATGGAGTCTGATTTTGCGTAATACTTGCAAGAATGAATGTGTGAAAGTGTATGAAATGAGAAGTGGAAGCTGAAGACAATATTGAAAAGTGTTAGAAAGATTAGTCTCACCATAGATCTATTGAATTCAGGCAATCAGAGGATGGAATACATGGTGTTGACTGGGCATTGGATTGATGATAATTGGAAGTTGAATAGACGGGTCCTGAACTTTGTTCATTTGCCTCCTCCCCGTACTGGTGTCGCCATTTTTGATGTCATTTTCAAGTGCTTAATGGAGTGGGGAATTAAAACTAAGGTCCACACGATCTCAATGGACAATGCTACAAGCAAGGATGTTGCAATCAAAGTCTTGAATGAAAATTTCCAAGCTACGGGGAAGCTCATATGTGGGGGCAAGTTGTTTCATGTAAGATGCTATGCACACATCTTGAACTTGGTTGTTCAAGATGACCTTTATCAAATTAGACACATTATTGATGGCATCCGTGACGGCATGTTATATATCAATGCCTCGGAAAGTGGGCTTAAGGTTTTTTCAGAGATTGTTTAGCAGCTGTGATTGTCGTTTCGCAAGCTTATTCTTGATTGCAAAACACGGTGGAATTTAGTATATGATACGCTAGCAATGACAATTAAGTTTAGACGTGTTTTTCCTAGATTGAAGGAGAGGGATATGAGTTACCATTATTGTCCCAAGGAGGATGATTAGGACAATGTAGAGAAACTTTGTGATATTTTGAAGGTGTTTAGTAGTGCGACCAATCTCATATCAAGGAGTGATTATTCGACATCAAACTTGTTTCTAAAACAAGTTTGTCTAATCAAAATTATGTTGGATAGTAAGAGTGAAGATGAAGAGAATTTATAAGGACCATGGTTTGGAAAATGAAAGAAAAGTTTGACAAATATTGGGGGAATGTAATTTGCTTATGGCTGTGGCTGTGGCTGTTGTATTGGACCCTAGATTGAAGATAAGGGTAATTCACTGGTCATTTCTTAAGATGTATCCTGACTTGGAAGCATGGGAAAATGCTGATATTGTTTAGGATGCCTTGTATGAGGTATATAGGGAATATGTTGATGCTAGTAAACCATTGACTGCTACTTGCGCTTCTACATCAGGAGGGGATGGACTTAAGGTCGTTGGTGAGGGATCGGGGGCAGCGACAGCCAGGCTAGAGGATTGGCATGATTTTTGTAACTTTATGGATGTGGTCAAGACAGTTGAGCTAAGTAAATCAGAGTTAGACTGTTATTTGGGAGAGGGATACCAAAAATGTGT